CTTCCGGTTATACCGGAAATATACCTTAAGTCGCTTATTTTAAATACGACACCCTATATATTATTACATTTTTGAATTTTACTCAAGATTCTAGGCAGAATTTATGTATCATGTCATATACCTAAGTCTAAGCAATTTTTGCCATATTTAGGCTTTTATGTCAAAAAATGACGTTTGCAAGCCCTAATAGAATTATCAATTGTTCTTATAAAGCCCTTATGACTTACTTTGGGTTGGATTCCTTGTGAATTTTATCGAATGACTCTCTAATATTAAACAGTATGTTTTCATTTTTAATACATCCACAGCATTTAATATTTTTGATTGAAATATTTGACGTAAAGAGTAACACTAGACACTTCACTTATTTTATTAAATATTTTCTTTAATATCAAAAATTGAACTAAAGGTACATTTACATCTGACATTTATTGCATGAAATTTATGTCTGACAGTTGTTTAGTGCAGTGTAAACACACAAAAATTTCTCTCGGACATATATTTTTGAGTGTTTACACTGGACTAAACAACTGTCAGACATAAATATCATGCAATAAATGTCAGATGTAAACGTACCTTTAAGTATATTATATCGGAATATTTTTATGCAAGTAATTAATAGTTGCTCTGTGTCCCATTATTAACGTGCCACCCTCTACATAACCTTATACACACCGTTACCTTTATTTTTGTGGCTAAATACTACACTAAAAAAAATTGGAGGTTTCCATTTGAAAAAAATAATTGCTGTTTTCTCAATCTCATTTTAAACCTTATTTTTGAACACCTTGTATGATTAGTTATCCAAATATAATAAAAAATCTATTAAAGTAGGTCCCTTTCAACAAGGAATCCAACCCCAAAGTAAGTAATCCTTATAGGAACAATTGATAATTATATTAGGGCTTGCAAACTAAAAATGTCGAAAAAGTTAAGACATGATACATAAAATATGCTTAGAATCTTGAGTAGAATCTTAAGTAGAACATTTAGTAATAATAATAATAATAATAGTGTCGTATTTAAAATAAGCGACTTAAGGTATATTTTCGGTATAACCGTAAGTGACCAATAGATGAAAATATTTCAACTGAATAGGCCCCAAGACATCTGGCAAGTTTCCAAATGAGATATCGATCGATGCAGTTCCTGGTGGTCCACTCTGTATATTGAAATTTTATTACTTTTTAATAATTTTTTAACTTGCGTGTCCACTACAAATCTGTCAATTTTATCGGTATTATTTTAGGATTAAAAAATATAAAATAATCAAATTGCCTTAAGTGACTCAGTAAATATTATGTATATAAAACAAAATTTGCAAATTCAATAGCTATTAAAAAAGACATAGACGAAGTAGGAAAGACATTTCATTATTTATTAGCTGTAAGAAAGATTATATTGAAATATATTATTTCTAAAATAATCATAGTTTTATTTTTTACACGTAAGTTATACATGAAACAATGTATATACACCACAAATGTTTGATTATGATTAATAACTAAAGACCGGACATTTTAATCGCGTTCAAATAATTGGTTTTAATCACATAGGCGTCTCATTCTGGGTTCGCTATTTAAGACGGCAGACAGTGCGGCAGATTCTAATACTATCAGGACAAACCTCTTTTTTTTATTAAAACAAGATAAAAAAAGTGTACTGATATATACATAGACATTAAAACTAATACAAAAAAGTGAGATTTTTTTTTATCGTGTACCTATATTCTTTGTCTTTTGAATCATTTTCATTAAACAAATTTAATGTTTTCTTCTCACCAACGCCGAGGATATGTAGGATATTTTACAAAAGTTTTTAGTAACCTCAGATCCTTTAATTTGTGGCCTGAGAAATTTTCCTTAAAAAAAAAATAACTTTTTGATGAAGATGTTAAACTTTTCATAAGCGAGTTTAAGGTGTAGTAATGTAAACGATATTCTGTATGATATTTTTTTTATTATTATCTCTTATATAATTACAAAATATCTATTCCTCAATATTTTGGCGTGGTACACTACTCTCCTGCCTAAAATGAGGATCGAGGACCCCAGCTGCCTCCCCCGAATTTGTTATTTCCTCCAGAAAATTGGAAATTTCTAGCCTTAGCTGGTCCCGATTCATTGTTGGAGAAATTGCATCGGGGCCAAATATTAGGACTCTACGAGCGTTTGGACTAAGACGCTGTAGAGAGGGCCTAAAATGAATGTCAAATAGGCCCATCATATGTTGTCTTATACTTTCTCGATCCATTGTCGGTTAGTTGCCGGTGATATTTTTATTCAAATAAAGTCAATCCTTATATTATATTTATGAATATTTTGGCTTTTATCGATACCGTACATACCGATTTTTTGTAACAAAAAATTTATGTTTTTATTTCCTGTGGATATTATGGTACTTATACACGATGAGACAATAAAATAAATGTCTGTTAAATTTCTGTAATGTATGTATTAATTCAATTGCTCACTCTATATAGGTATCTGTTGGTTGAAAAAATGTAAAAAGATAACAAAGAGTCGATAAACAGGAGATTTGAGAAGAAAGTGTCTTGTAAAAATATCACTAGATTTTTCCAATGAGTATATTTGTTTAGTTCAAAGGGAAAAGTGATAGAAACTGGAAACGTAAATATGGAAAATTTATTATCGGACTTTGATTGTTTTCGTCGTTTTAATGACAACAAATTATACTGCCGCAATTGTGATCAGGTGTTAGTTTTTAATGGAAAGTCAAGTATGACACAACATGTGAAAACACAAAAACACATGCAATCTTTAGAGGGATGTCCAGACAAAATCTTTTATGAAGATTTATGCAACGCATTTGTTTCTGCAAATATTCCATTAACAAAATTAAATAATACAATTTTCAAAAATTTTCTTTGTAAATATACTAAACGTAAAATACCGGATGAATCCACAATTAGAAAACATTATATTCAAAATCAGTACGATAAAGCAATGACGGCAATAAAAACGAAAATTTCCAGCAAATATATTTGGGTTAGTGCAGATGAAACGACTGACATAAAGGGTAGATGTGTTGTTAATGTTGTTGTAGGATTATTAAGTGCTGAAAATACTTCACAACAGTATTTAGTTTCTAGTGTGTTTCGTGAAACTGTGAACGCTGAAATGATTTATGAAATAGTGAAACGTGGATTGAACAATGTAATTGATAATGACGTTTCAAAAGTTTTATTGTTTATTTCAGACGCGGCAAGTGTAATGTTGAAAACAGGGAAACTATTACAAGAACATTTTCCAAACATGCTGCATGTAACTTGCCTTGCTCACGCGTTACACCGAGTTTGTGAGTTTATCCGTGACAGCTTTCCAGACATTAATTCGTTGATTAGCTGTTTTAAAAAAATTTTGTTAAAAGCACCGTCCCGAGTTTCTTTATATAAAGAAATATGTCCGAATATCCCCCTACCTCCACAACCAGTTATTACACGATGGGGAACTTGGTTACAGGCTGTGTTCTTTTTTTCGGAGCATTTCGACAGACTAAAAGTATTTATTTCCAACTTATCAGAGGACGCTCTCTCTATCACTCAGTGTAAAGGTTTAATAACAAAAACAACTTTGCAGTCGGAGTTAAATTTTCTTGCGACTTATTTTTCGTGTCTCCCAGAAACTATAAAATTCCTTGAAACCCGTAACTTACAATTATCGGTTGCTATGGAAAAATTTGAATCGACATTGTTACACTTAAAAAACGTAAAGTGGCCCTTACAAGATAAATTTAACCATAAAATAGATTGTGTTATTAAAAGAAATCCAAATTTACAGACTCTGAAACAAATCTCCCTGAACAATTTTAACGATTATGAAACTGCTTTAAAATATTGTGATTTTGTTCCACATTTTTCATTTGCTCCTGTAACGAGTTGTGACGTAGAACGATCGTTTTCTAGGTTTAAAGATTTATTGACTTCTAAAAGAAGTAATTTCACTGAAGACAATTTAGAAAAATATGCAGTCATACAAACATATTTTTCAAATGAAGAAGATTGATATTAATTTGTATTGTATATAATTGTATATTTGCTACTTTAGGATAAAGAGTGTATATTGGAACACTCTAAACATAAAACTAATGATGGTGTATCCTCGTTGATATATTTATTAGTCAATAATATATTAACAGAAAAAGCCAACAACATTATCCCACAACACAATAAAAAAATAAATAATAATATCATTTGTAATTATATAATAATATCCAACCAAATTTGAACTAAAATTTAATAAAATAATTATTGCAATGTAAATGTAATAATAAGCCCGCCCCAAATGTTACGCCCGGGCGATAAAAATCCAATATCTTATCTACTGTGTCGACCAGTTCAGTAAATAACTTGTTTTATTCAGAATGTATTATTCAAATCGAAGGTCCGCTCTTACCGTTACTTCGCTGATAAGAATAAATTAAATTGTCCGGTCTTTATTAATAACATTAGCTTTACCCATTTTGTTGACATAGGCGTCCACATTGTTGTTTGAAGAGGATCGAAAATTTTTTTTTTTTTAATTAAATTGTTTGACTTTACAACAATAGAAGTATTAAGAAAACGTAAAAATATTTTTCTACGCCCATGTCAGTAAACGATAAAATCGCACTATCAACATTCCTTGTGTAAATGACATTTAACAATAACATGCACATAATGAGTTCTCATAACATACACATGTGTTTTGATAAGAAAACTTAAATTTCTTGGTTTAATCAAATTTTGGTCTAGGTACGACTTTATTTAGTCTATTTACATAAATTTAGTCATCTAAAAAACAAAAACTTTTAGCCTTAGCGAAATACATTTTGGATTAAAAGAGTGATGCCCCTAAATGTTGGCAACATATACAATTTTTCAAAAAATATGTCGTGTTTTCTTAGCATGCTATGGAAATAAACGTCATGCCATTTATATTGTCAATTTTTGTAACAAAATATGATTGTGTCCAAACATTTTCTCCACTTTACCTACGAATATGTTTGTTAGCAGTGAAATTGATGAAATTATGAGCACCCCACCGGAGATTTTAGAAAAAGCTCAAGCTGCCACACATAATTTGTTACCGCTAAAATCCAAAGAAAGGTACGAAATTACCTGTCGAAAATGTATGGATTGGCGACACAAGCATAACGTTAAATCCTTTTTTGAGAATGTTTTAAATGGGCGTAGAAAAAGTATAGTACGTTACACGAGTTGTAACCCTATTACGCACTCGTGAACTTTATTACTTCGTGCGTAATGAGTTACTCTTGTTACGTAATATACTATTAAAAATGGACGATTCATTTTATTTCAGTTACTAAATGTAAATACAGTAATAACTTGTTTTAAAATCTCCTGTTATCGCTTTAATCTAAATATACATTTTAAAATTACTTTTCGAATAATAACATAATAATACTCCCTAATTCACCCCCTTACGAGTGACATTTTAACCCCTGAGGCCGACTGAGCTTGTGGAGAAGGGACGACATTATTATTATTTTTGGCGCTTATATACTTATAGATAGGGATTTGGATGAACATGAACTCTAGAAGATTGAAAAAGTTAATAAAAATTATTGAATAAATTAAATGCTTATTGAATATTAGAGAACTCAATTCAGTTCTACGACAGAGAACATTTTATCTGTGATAAAATAGTATTAAAAAAAGTTTACTAAAGAAACTAATCTTTGAGTCTTTATTTATAAACCCCTAAAATCAAAATATATTTACAGATAAGTCAATTGAAAAATATACATATTAGGGATGTTATATGGTTTTCGCCATAACAGAGAGATATAATGTAAAGAACATATTTGGATCTTAGTTTTTCAAAACGATTTAATAAATAGTTATTGATGGGGTACCATCAGTCATCTATACGTTGCCCTGGAGCGCCGCGGCAAATAATAATAGTAACCGTCCCTTCACTCGACTTCTGTAATTTAAATTCGCTTGTACTCTCTCACAAACTTCAATTCTGTGTTTATAAACAATCTAATGTAAAACTCCTTCAGGGTAGTTAAATGTTACAGCCACTCATGATATTATCATGTGTCTGGACTTTAGAACTTTCTCGTATCACAGGATTTTCTACAGATCCCAAACTGTATAGGAATTTTGATGAATTTAAGTTAACAATTTCAGGACTTTTATACCGATCTGTTCTGTTTGGATGCTTCGATGAAGATTTGTTAATGATACTTTCTAACTTGATGTGATGTTTACGCACACGTCTTAAAGCCAATCTCAATAGGGTAAGTACCTCATATATTTATTTAAAAAAATTAACCAACTTGAAAAAATAACACCTATATTTTTTAACAAATTCGATGGCTCATATTTTTTTATGTAAATAAAATGTTGCCAGAGTTTTTTGTCGCAAGAATAGTAGTAGTAGACTGTCTAAACTAATAATAAAAAGCTATATAAGGTTTCTTTTTTTTAAGAGCGGTCAATCATAGTAGACATACCCTGCATAATAATAATGAATAATATTTCCCTCCCTGTATTTGTCATAAATACTTATGATTGCTAAATTAAAGAATGTGTTGATTCGTTTAAAATATTATATCCTCCCCATAATACCATGATAATTTAAAACCAGAATATTGTAGACAAATTTTAAATAAAAAATAATTAAAACATTTATGACCCATGTATTTCAAAGTAGAAAATAAAAATGACTCTGATTTATCATCTTTGCTGTAACGAGTGGACAGTGGGTTGCTCCACGGCATTTAGGCCTCACTAGACATATTGTGCATCCTCCTAAACTGTTAGGCCCCTCTTAGTTCGTCAGCCAGCCTAGAGATTTGATGTAGTTGACAACGTTACCAAGAGATACTACTAATCTTCTAATAAATGAGAGCGTCGGGCAATTGTATAGGATATGCTCGATAGTCTCATCTTCTTGTTCGCACCCCCGCAGAGTGCGGAGTCTGATAGCTCCTTGCTGTTTCCGTACTTGGCATTATCTAGAATGCCTGTGATTAGGCACAGACTCTGTCTAGTGATAGTAAAATATTTTTTGCTATGGTGTTGTCGGGATTACTTAAAAGCTCCATGGCAACTCTGTTTCATCCCATCTTTCCTTGAATTTCACAAGGTAATTTTCTTTAATTAGGTTTGTCACTACCGCTGTTGTCAGTTTAATGGAAGAACCATGTTCAAAAATATTTGGTTTGCTGCCTTCTTGGCTAGTAAATCACCAAGACCTTTCGATGTGGCGTGACCTTTGATCCATCTTAAGGTGACCACATTTTTGATGGATACTTCCGCCAAACCTTCGTGGCTTCTAGTACTAACCCTGAGTAAATTCGTGGTATGTCCATGCTGAGTGGTGATTGTTTGCTACCTGTATAGATGAGCATGTTTCTTCCAATAATATTGTTACTGCTCTTTCTTTTGCTGCTAAGAGAATTCCCTTAAGCTCGATTTGAACTACACTGACTCTATTGCTCACCGCTAATTTTATGATTGGGTTTAAGGATTTGGAGAATATTCAACAACCTGATTTGTTTTAGAACCGTCAGTGTAGATATGCATCGTACCTTCCACTTGCGGCTGTTCCATTTGTTCAGTTATAACTTTATACGGCTTATCGAATATACATCTCGTTGAGATGGAATCCATGTTCCCCCTATTAAACAGATACGTAAATCGAAATGAAAACCCTTTATTTTACAATGAATTGGACAATATATAATAAGACCATGCGTGAAACAAAGAAAGACTGCTAATCAGCGCATTACCTATTCTGTCGTCTGGCACACGGTACCTACGACTTCAACCTCACTCCCACTTACGCTCGTCCCTTATAGATTTGGTTTATAGAAACTGTTACAAATACGAAAAATCAATAAAATACAAAAAGTTTTGAGCCATTAAACTTGGTAAGAAATGTACGTTTTTTTTTAGAATTGATTAAAAGTGTTACCAATAATAAAAATAAAAGCATTTGTTTAATTTTTATATTACAGCTCGTCTGATACTCCCAAAACTTATTACTGCATGCAACAATGTTTTGAGAAGAACGATTTAAAGGTTTGTAACATGAAATTTATTGATTGATCTTGAATGTGTTTTTTTTAATCAAACAATTCAAAATCGTAAACTTGGTAGAAATTTCAAGTTGACTTAGTAATGATAATAAAAAAAAATAGTCTTTTTTCATTACAGTTAAAAATTATTTACAATAACAAAAAATAAATGACAAAAAAAACCTGTAAAGCAAATAAATACATCATTCTGTTTTATTCAGAAAAAATATATTTTTTTTATTTATATTGATGAAAATAGCTTAAATTATATTTTAAAATGAATCATTTTCCAATATAATAAACCTATTTCATAACAGTTTGTCTACGTTTCATTATCCAGACTGATTAGATTAGCTTTTCTTTTAGAATTTCCTTAAAATCAAGAATTGTGTAGGATGTAGGATCTATATTCCGCCGTATTAGTCCCTCATCTGACTTCAAAAAGTGGCACGTCGTGTTTTTTGCTTGCTATTTGTAGTTTGGTACAGGGAAGGGGATAGAAGCGGTCATGTGACCTGTGAAATTCAAAGTAAAGTTGCTTATCGATGGATTTTTTGCTGGCAATGAAACATATACTTATAGATGTCAATAACAATAAAAAATTCCTTTCCAAGCATTTTGGTCCAGATTTGCTCCTTTCGGTGAAGGGATGTCAGTTACGTGGCAGGATATTTACGTTTCTCAACGAAATTAGGGATATACCTTTAAACCATTTTTTCTGAATCTAAGATATTGTGTCTAAGATTTTGTGTCAGCAAAAGAATTGATTTGAAAAAAATTGTAACCTTGAAATAGGTGTAAGATCGGAAAAAAAGTGTTTGTATGACTCTCAACTAAGAGTGTTGCCCTTGCAAGCATTTTTTGTTTAGTTAGTTTTACCTTTTCAAGGTAATAATATAAAAAAAAATCTAGTCATTGGCTGGAAAAATGCTTGCAATATCATCAATCAGAAAAATATGCGTTTAAGCTATATCTCGAATTTTGTTGAAAAACGTAAACATCCGTTCACGTGGCCGAAATCTCTACACCGGAAGTAGCTAAACCGGACGTCAGAAAATGCTTGTAAACAGATGTTTTATTGTTAGTGGCGTTTAAAAGCAAATATTACATTGCCAGCAAAAAAATATCCATCCAATTTCACAGGTCACATGACCACTCCCACCATCGGGGCATAGTACATGTTGTTCACACCTAACTACAAATAGCAAGAAAAAAACACGACGTGCCACTTTTGGCAGTCAGATGAGGGACTATAATTAAAATCTAGACAGAAACCTAAATTCTTACCTTTGTTGTAAATAGAAGAAGAATATCGCCTATTTAGTTTTTTAATTGTTTTAAAGCTTTCACGTGTTTTTTGTCAAATTAAATGGCTGTAGATTTAATAGGTTTTAATTTAAAATTGTGTGCAGCAAAATTTAAATCTACAATTATAAACAATAAAAAAAAACAACCAGTCAATGTTATAAAAAAATAAACCTGCGTGTCGTTCGCATAATGGTGTACTGAGTAGTTTTTAAATAACCTATGAATTGGTCCTAGAATGGTTCCTTGTGATATGCCTTTTGTTACAGGTAAGTCATTTGTTTTTTCATTATCTAATTTAACTTTGTGAGTTAAGGTAATTTAAAAGTAAGGCTACAGTTTCTAGGGATACATTTTCTACAAAATACTTTGTAATCAATCGTACCAAATGTCACGCCCAACATGAGCAAACATGTAATTTTGCCCTGATCAGTTACATGAAATAAGTCGTCAGTAATTAATACAAGTGCGGTGTTGTGACTTGAATCCCAACTGAGTAAAATTTATTATTTGTTTTTTGTGAGCGTATTGAGTATTTTCCTATGCATTTGGAAAGGGTAGGTAAAATACTAATTGATCGCAGATCAGAAAGGCTTGACGGTTCAGTACATTCGGCTAGTGCTCGATGGGCTAGTGGGAGTATTATAACTCGTTTCCATGAATCAGCATATTCCGATGTTATGATTGTCTTATTAAAACTGAAGGTTAAATAATCTTCGACCAAATGTAGCATTTTTAATACATGATAGTATTTTCAGGACGGCTATAACCACAAGAAACACCGATGTTCCAAACTGTGCAACTACTGAGCTTCAAAGCAATCCACAAATTACTGCTTCCAGTTCAGTCACTCAGTTTTTTGACCGCAATAAAAATCACCCTGAGGTCGATCCGTTTTTATACAAAAAAACAGCTTACGACAAAACCCAATTGGCCAATCAAGACACCAAATTGGATCAAATACTCACAAATCAAACATTAATGATGAAAAGTATTGAACAAATTTTGAAGAAACAAGCCAAACATGATGCTTTGTTCAATGAAGTTCTTGAACGAACTCCCATGATTACAGTACCTGTAGCTCCTGTTCAACACGTCCAGCTCGACAGAGACATGACGGAGACTCGATCTCGAAGTAGTTTACCAAACGATCCTATAAACCCAATAAAACCGGTTGAGTCTTTAGAAGAATTAATCGGATTAGAAGAAAAACTGCAAGATCAAAACTACATGGACGAATTGATCGGTCTCTTGACGTTTATATGCGGCACTAGAGACGTAGGCAATGGTGCGAATCACTGTTACAAACTCGTAGACTTCATCTTCACCCGACAGTTCATGACGACTTGTTCTTGGGCCGGCGGATCTAGAGAACAAAAAGAAAAAGTGCCCTTTAAGATGTTCAAACACGTGATCAGCATGTTCTTTCAGTTGGTCCACATGGCGGACACCACGTTTACGTTGGAACAGTGCGAAAACTTCTTCAAAGGCGTTCTAAAGAATTCGGTTAGACGCAACGAGCGTGGCAAGACCGGAGTAGTCCGTTGTTCTAAAACCAAAAATAGACCGAAGAAATTGGTGTATAGAGCGAGGGAACTAAGAGATTGTGAATTCATTGAACAGGATGTGCTGGAAATTGATTCCAAAGTTTTTCAAGACTCTTTAGATATATGCGATCAGATATTATAATTTGATATTTTTTTAAAAGATAGTCATCCGTATTCACAAAACGTTTTTAAATAAGAGAGGGGGGAATGATAAAAATACAACAGTATATTAAAATTTTATTAAAACTAGCCTTTCAACTGTATAAAACCATCATCATAGCTAACCCCTTAAAGATTTTACAAAGGACCCCGCACTTTTTTTATTGATTTTGGGTACTGACAGAATTTGTTAAAATTTTAGTATGTTACTTTTCAGATCATTATGGGCAACTTTCTTATGTACCTCAAGTTTGCAGCTCTACAGGGTGAGCTGGTAGAAGGAACCAAACCAAAAGTAAGGAGTGCAGAAAAAATATTGTCACATATATATCTACCACTTTCATGCATCTTTTTTCCATGAAACTTATATTATGGCATGTGTTACACTTCTATATAGTTTATTAATGCTTACTTCCACTTTGTAAAAAAAATCAATAGTGTTAAAAAAAAGAATATTAATTACTGAAATAAGGTGCATTTTCATGTGTTACCATAATTAGAACATGCTTTCTGAACACTTATTTGTTACGTTAAATACTAGAAAAATTTTATAATAATACAGGGTGTGGCAGAAAGACAAATAATATATAATACAAAAATATAATAGTTTCTTCACATAGAGTTTTAGACTTTCCACTAAATCATAAATCAATATAAAAGAAACTGTATTTTTAAAAACCTATTTTATTACATACATTAACTATTTACACACCTTCAAAATCTGACTCATCTTTCAGCAGCATCTAAAATAGTCCTTAATAAAGCAGTTGAAGGGTACTTTATATAATTTTCGAATCGTGCGTATTCTAGGTACCACAAAACACTTGAAATATTAGCACACATGTCTATAGTTCTTGAACCAATCTTACATGTACAATAGCATCTAGTAATGATAGTCTCTTTAATTTCATTTTAATCTACATATAACATGTCTCGAATATATTGTAAAAAACGAAGGGATGCCACACAGAAAGAGTCCTAACAAAAATAAACTACCTACTATCAAAAAATGTATAAAAACAAAATTTTAAAATTGTTCCTAATAAGAAGAAGAAGAAGAAGAAGAAAATATACAATGTAAAATAGAATGTAGTCTGAAATTGCAAAGATTACAACGCTGCCTGTCAACCCTATCATGATAATTTAGCTGTTTGTTAATCTAATACTCTCCAACCTTTTAGCTCATAGAATCCTTTTGTAATTATTCTGATTGATAAATAAAGAAATAAAAAAAGTTATGTCATATGCTCAGAAAATAATCTAAAGCAAGATAAAAGTACCGTAGAATGGGGCTATTCGGGAAATGAGGGGTTATTTGAGAATTTGCCTAAATAATGTTAAAAGCGTCAAGACAGCCCACGAGGTTAAATAAAATTTGAAAACGCTCCACGAGTCAGTTAATAAGAATGCGACTGGATCTCGACGGTCGGAAATTGTTAAGTTTCGGCGCGTAAAGACATCATATAAAACAGGTGTGATTTGTTGGAAGAATGGTAAGTAGTTAATTTTCTTCTATAAATCTAAACCGATTAATTGCATGGTATTGGGGGTTAATCTAATTAATTATAGCGGAGCGCTAGTGGCGGTAAAAAGAAGGCGTTTAACTTTGACTGAGGCCTTTGAGCGTTTTAAAATTCCCGTCGCAACCATAAGCAGACATGCTAGAGGGGTTAACGTTTTTAAAAAAACGGGAAGACCTTCAATGTTTTCTACGGAAGAAGAGGAACGGTTTGTCAAATACGTAAATATTGTGGCAGCATGGGGATTTCCATTCGACTTAATGGACCTAAGGCTTTTTCCAAAAAAATTACTTGATAAAAAAGCTGTAAATGAGACTCGTTTAAAGGATAATTTACCTGGTAGAGATTGGGCTTTTGCTTTTCTTAAACGACATCAAAAGCTTATATCGAATCGTCTATCATTCAATATTTCTACAAAAAGGGCTTCACTTTCGCCAGAAGTTATTCATAATTTTTTTGATAATGCCAGAGATACGTTTTTTTGTTTTGCAAATAGCCCCTTCAGTAGGGAAATTGTGATTTATGCAATTTTAAGACATGTTTTCAAATAGCCCCACCCTATAGGGTAATTTGAAAAGACACTAAAAAAAATTTTTTTGGGCTCCCAAAAGAAGGGGTCCTCAGTCCAATGTAGGTGATAAATTGCCCTATCATAGGTCTTTCCAATGTTACTATAAAATTGACCAGGTTTAGAATTGTTTTAAAGATATTACTAAAAATCCTTTAAAAAAATCTCTAATAGCCCCATTCTACGGTATGTAGTGGGATGAAATAGCTAAACAATAAGAATTGGTCAGGCATTAAATATCATTATTCATATCACGAAGGTTTTTAATGAAGTACTTTTGCAAAAACTATAAGGTTTTTTTATGAGAATTTAATTTAATTAAAATAAACCTACTAATTCTACAAAAATAGAATTATATTTAGAAGTAAAGTGATAACTAAGCTGACATCTGTACTGTATATAAAATTCTATATAAAAAGTGCTTTTTTATTAGAATATGTCTTCTCAGTCATTCATTCAAGTCAGAGTTAGTAAAATTATTTCTACATTTAAGTAGGCGTTAGAGGCGCTCGATACGCTCCCACTGCTTCAAGCGAACATGGACTCCATCTCACCGAGATGTATCTTCCATAAGCCATATAAAGTTATAATAGAACAAATAGAAGAGCCAGAAGTGGCAGGTACGATTCATAGCTACACCGACGTTTCTAAAACAAAATAAGGCTCAGGATGTGGAATATACTCCAGATTCTTAAATCTATACATAAAATGAGCTGTGAGTAATAGTGCCAGTCTAGTTCAAACAGAGCTAACGGGGATTCTCATAGCAGCAAAATAAATAACCAGAAACAATATCACTGGAAGGAATATGCTCATCAATAAAGATAGCAGACAAGCACTACTCACCCTGAACAGACCACGAATTTACTCAGGGTTACTACTAGAATATCACAAAGCTTTGGCCGAAGTATCCATCAACAATGAGGTCACCTTAAGATAGATCAAAGGTCACGCCACATCGAAAGGAAACCGTCTTGCTGAGTCACTAACCAAGAAAGCAGCCAACCAAATACTTTTTGGACCTGGCCCTTCTATTGGCCTGACAAAGTCGGTAGTGACAGACCTAATTAAAGAACATTCCCTTGTGAAATTCAAGGAGAGATGGGATAAACAAGAAACTGCAGAGTTGCTATGGAGCCCTTAAGTTATCCTGACAACACTGCAGAAAACAAATACTTGACTATGACTAGACTGAATCTGCGCCTAGTCACAGGCATTCTGACTGGTCATTGCCAAGTACGGCAGCATCTCCATATCATGAGGCTGTCAGAATCCGCATTCTGCAGAGGGTGCGAACAAGAAGATGAGACCATCTAGCATATCCTTCACGATTGTTTGACGCTCTCATTTATTAGAAGATTTGTGTTCGTTGAGTATCGGTAATACCGGCCGATATAAGAGAAGCACCTCTTGGCGACGTTGTCAACTACATTAAATCTGTAGACTGGCTCACGAGCTAGGAGGTGCCTATCATCTCAGGAGGATGCACAATGGGTCTAATGAGGCCTAAGTACTGTGGGGGGTAACCCATCCTCCACACGTTACAGATACAGAAGTAGGCGTTAGTTAAAAATAGCTATGATTATAATACGGGCAAATCTGAATTTAAAAACTTTTTACAATATTGTTGGCATGCCAAGTTTTTGTTTCATGCGTTTCTGTAATTCTTAGTTGTTTATATAGCTCTATCACATCCTGTATTACTTATAAATATTATCTAGTATGAAATGAAACAAAAAAATGGTACTATCGTACTACACGAAAAATACACCATATTTCTAATTTTTTGAACACTGTATGATTTATTTTGCGAAGTGTAAGTAAGCATGAACCTAGTGTAACACATGACGTAAGTTTCTTGGAAAAAACAAGAATTACTTAAGAGTGGTGGAGATATTTAAAAAAAATATTAATTCTACCGTCATTAGTTTTGAATCCTTCAAACAGGGCACATCCTGTAAAGCTGCAAACTTGGGGTCCATAAGAAAGTTGCCTTTAAAGACCTGGAAAATAACATACTAAAATTTGAACAAATTGTGACAGTACCTAAAATCAATGTAAAAAATGCGGGTTCCTTTACAATAAAGTTATAAACCACGTTAAGTCAGCTGATTTTGGCTAATAATATCGATGAGTTAAACCATTATAACTATAACAAATATTTTTGTTTAAAATTAATTCATCGATAATCATCAGTAGACAGAGAGATTACAAAAATTGACAAGTGACAGTTGAGACTTAATGACAGAAGCGATCGTCATTAGATCTTGATACTCAACAGAAATGCACCAGTTTCTTTGATATTGATATATGCAAAAAAGTATGATTTTTTTAGAAGAATATTCAAACATTTACCTATCTCTTTGAAGTAAAATGTTGATACAATGATATTAATATCCTGTAACAAAAACTACGTATACGTCCATAGCTCTATTAGGCATTAGGCATTCCAAACTGAATGGCTACCAATGGGTTTTGACATGGCAAAATTATGGCAACCCTGTAGGCCTGGTGATATGACAAGGTCAATGAAATAGATAGTTACATAGATTGATCATCCATATTTTTCAAAATAAACATAAGCATAAACATAAGCTTGAAGTAAAAATGTAAGCAAATATTTTTTTTTAAATATCCAAAGACTGAAAATTGGTTTTAAAAGACATTTTTCCTAAACCGATTCAAATTAATAAATATTTGCCAGGCAATATGGCCGCTCGCAAAGGATCAGCCTTGAGCAATCTATATACCTATATATGTATCATTGACCTTGTCAATTCACCAGGCATACAGGGTTGCCATAATTTTGCTATGTCAAAACCCACTGGTAGCCATTTTGTTTGGAATGCCTAATAGCATCACTTTAACTCTCTACTATCATTTGAGGTATATGTT